TGGTTGCCTAGCAACCAGAACGATGCGACGTTGGACTGATAAACCGGGGTCTACATCTGTTCCAGACATCACCCATTTAAATGCCTGGTGAGTCACGTGACCTATGGCGTTCACGTTTACCAGATGCGATGGGCGATAGAAATGATGAATTTCCTGTGAATTTGTTGAGAGGCCCAAACCATGCGCCTTATCTAAGGAATTAAAGATTAAAATGCCTCTCCACATATTTCCCATGTCAGCCTCGGTGTTAAAGTGAGACGGGTTTGTGTGGCATATCGACATGAATTTGGATGAGAAAGCTAAAAATTTCAACGCCGTTCCATTGAAAATGAAATATCAGAATCCATGAAGCCATTTTCAGTTAAAACGTTACGCTAAGTTTGTATTATCCTTGAATAGGGTTGAAACTACTATGAACAGTTTGACTCCGCGTGAAAGGTTGATTCTTGACAATCCTGTCGTTTTCACAGCGCAAGGACTAAATGAGTACTGCTAAATGCAACTCAACGATCAGGGTGTTAATTCTCCATTCTATTATGAGAAATATCGTCGCCTAATTCGCCACTAAAGCTTGATATCGGAAGTGACGTCACTCTTTCTATAGTCCCTATAGCTTGGCCAAGGATTTCTCTCGCACATGAGAGCATTTTGATTGGCCGACTATTTTTAGTATCGGTCATTCGTCAGCGTTTCATATTGAAGCTATGGAAGGGAATGGATTATACTATAGGGTAATATTGAGAATGGTTAAACGACGCTTTTGTATCACGTGGTGCATGAATGAGTTTGGGTTCTTAAAACTTTTAGCAATATTCTAGCGGTAGGGGACACCAGTAATGTAGGGAATCGAACTCGTATCCTTGGGGTAACAAGTAGACGCATATACCGCGAGGCTACCCCTTTTCCCAAATAACGCTAAGGATGAGGATCTGCATATAAAAATTATGATGATAAATGTGTATTTTTAAAACTTAAAGCGTGTCAGTAAGCGATTGAATGTCACTGCAGAGCCATGGATATTCTTGCTATCTCACAGCGACCTGTAAATAGTCGAGTCTGGACTAGACAAACCATTTATTGATATGATCAACACTGTCTACATTGTCGGGGTGTGACAGGCAATCAAGTGATCAAAGTCACGTGACAAGCTACATGCATGTATCTAGCCTCATTTTGAACATGGGTGACTGGACATCTGCTCAAACACGGACTTTCTAAATGTGGTAGGGGCGCTCGTCACTTCCGTTTCCCCTATGGGTACAATTTATGACTCCCTTTTCTGATGTCCCCCGCCGTGATGTTGATGTAATAGTTCTAAAAACGACGTAAACCATATTCCAAACTCTTACATGCAGTAGTTAAATTTTACTTAAATGGCAAAACGAAATCACTGTCATCGGACACGGATGAACAATCGGCCCCCATCATAAATATTTATCATTACGAACAGTGTGATCACGCTGTGTAATCTCGCAGTACGTTCTGCGAGATTTGATAAGATATCGAGATGGCTTTTTGTTAAACTTCATGAAGCGTATCGTCATGAAGCTTGCTACACATTGACATGTCTGCCGTGCCTATATACGAAATACATTATGAATATCGTTTTACGCCGCTTTTAGAAATATTCCAGCAATATCAGGGCATAATACACCCTAAACGACACTTTCAACCAAGATAGGGAATCGAACCCGTACCTTTGGCGTGACCATTAGGCTAACCCACAACCCCTAAATAAATGGACTGTGTATAGAATATACATACATATACGAGTTGCTTATAATAATTGGAGCCTGTATTCGCCGTTATGCCAACTATAACGTGATGGCAATCCTCCTTGATTACACAGTGAATCATATCTCCATTCTGTTATGGCGAATATTACCATAGATCATAGAATGGAGTTATAAAACACTGGGTTGTCGGGATGGGTGGACATATGTTATTGTGCAATATGAGTCATTGTCTCATGACTTATTTTTCCATAGATAATTCGAGGAATTCTTATGGGCGGTCGTAATGGCCGTCAACAATAACAATAAACTTCAACCGGAATCAAACATCCATCATCCAACATCCGGGTATATATGTTTTAACTTATATACGCCTAAAACATAAGTACTAGTTCAAACATGACATAATACTGACTCTAACATGACATAATACTGACTCTAACATGACATAATATTGGGTCAAACATGACAAATACTGGGTCAAACGTGACAAATACGTGGTCAAACATGATATAAAACTGAGTCAAACATGATATAATATTTGTTCAAACATTATATTTACTGGGTCAAACATGAATTAATACGGGGTCATACATGACATATTACCAGGTCAAACATGACATATCACCATCATATTAATGATGCGTATATGTCAAATATGAAATTTGATCAAAGTCACATGGTAATGATGAGCACGACATTGGTCACAGTTTCACCGGGAGTATCGACATGAAGCCACTTGGTGGAAACCTGTAGCTGATCATGGCCTCTTCCCGATAGCACTGTCGCAATGGAGGATGTTCCTAGTCCGCTTTACCTCATCGATGTGTTCTATATAAAACTATTCTCACACATCAGAGAGATGTAATTTGAATAACATTTTGTTTCAGAGTCAAATATGCACCCAGAATGCCCAATGGCGTTACAGTATTTCTCGCAACGTTGACTTCAACAACCATAAACCTATATTTAGACTTTTAAAGTAACTTATATATTCAGACTCGAACATAAAACGATGTCCTTGACCTTTGGGGTCTCATTTTTCAATGCTATACACATCGTGCTAGCCTTGCTTCAAGGCTGTACTGAAAGAAAAGTCCGTGGATGTGTAGTATTTCTATCGTCCTAATAGCCAAGTCTAGATGTGGACAGTGAGGAATCCAGTCTCTTATAGGAACAACATTTTATTTACATAATGTAGGAATTATGATTTAAACTAATAATTATTGCCTTAGAGAACTGCGCAAGTCTAACGTCGTGCCAGAAAGAGCAATCGAGCCCTATCAAATAGCCAGGTGCCCTAGACTCTTGATAATATTAGCTTACACGGACGAAACAGCCCAACGTTCGTTCAAGCGAGACAACACGAGATTGTACCACGTGTCAGTGTTTATGTTATTATCTTGTTTATTTACACCTGACCCGTCACAATCAACTGGTCACGTGGTTAAGTCACCTTGGGACATATCTGCTTCCTGATCAAATGGGGCTCCTCATGGGTGGGCATATTTTGTAATTATATTGAATGTTGGAACTGAGAAACATGACATCCCGAATATGATAAAACAACGTTTATTAATATCATCCACCCGAAGTCACAGTTACTAAAACGTTGAACACTTTCAAGGTCGATCGGGATTTACGTCCCGATCGACCTTAAAAGAGTTCAACTTTTTTGCAACCGCGAGCGTATGCTAGCCATGTTCAGTATGCTGACGTCAAGCAACTCACGACTCCACTTATCCCTGTGTTTGGAATATGACTGTACGAGATTAGCATCAACATTTTAACGGGACTGAGCTGGGTGATATAGCTGGGAATACAGAACAGTATATCTTTATTTGACTTGGCTCATTCCATGGGGGGCGGTCGGGTAGCCTAGTGGTTAAAGCGTTCGCTCGTCACGCCGAAGACCCGGGTTCGATTCCCGACATGGGTACAATGTGTGAAGCCCATTTGTGGTGTCCCCCGCCGTGATATTGCTGGAATAATGCTAAAAACGGCGTAAAACCATACTCACTCACTCACTCATTCCATGGCCCCTGATCACGATACAACAGGATTCACAATGAGGCGTCCGGGGATGAACAAAACCTTTTCTTAATTTGAGAATGAATAAATCTTATATTGTACAATAAAGCAAGTATTTACCCAAATCTACTGACGTTATTTCTACATTTCCTTTGAAACGTTTAATAACGTTTGGTCTGAGCCAATATTTCTTAATGAACAATTTACAACATATCAGTCATTGGACTAACATATACAAAATTATTCTCATCGTCCAATTCATGATACCAAGACAATGATCACAATTTCTTAGTTCTCTTTGTCTATTACTGAATCGTTCTCTTTCAATGTTTAATTTCTGTACAGCGATTCCATAGTTTGTAATTGCCATAAAAACTAGCGAGAACGGTACCTTAACGTCTTAGTCTATATCTAACAAACGAACGTGCACTTGTTCAGATGTAAGAAACTTCAGATTAAATCCCTGTCATATATAGTTGTGATTTTCAACCAAACAATAATTTCGTTAGATACTTATATTGTACACACTGGTATCATTCGCTGTTTCCAGGGAAACTGTGATAATTGTTGATGTGACTGGTAAAATAGTTATCACACAGGATGAAGTTGAAATATCGGTTTGGGCAAAAGGCGGGTCGGGCGCTGTGATTCGTCCTTGAGTGATATTGAGAAACAACAGACCTTGTGCCATCATAGATTTTTAAATCAGTCTGCTACGCGAGTGTTCAACACGGGGCCATCGACGACGGAAACAAAAGCAGTTATGAACAATTTGCAGATATAACAGAAGCAGATATAACATTATTAAATATCAGTGCTGTGTATTGCTCGCAGAACGGTGTTAATGGCGGATTGAAGAATAATCACTTGTGACGCGCTAATGTCAGACTTGAATGAACTTGAATCTATATATAGATGACAACACAGGGTGTTCCAGCTTCTTTTCTTTTCTTTTTTTTCAAATCGAGAAAAGTGAGCCCCGTTTGACAGCTTAAATGTATTGTTGGTATCAATTCATCAACTTGTTCGTATCATTTTATCACATTGTTTCGAACAATGTGACCTTTACATTTCCAACAGCTGTTTAGTTACATTAATTGTCAAGGATATTATTATGTTGATAGACACAGGATGTGAATATTTGACAGCGTTGCTTGGACACTGTGTGAACAAAAGTGAGGGTTTGAGGTTTAACATGGGTAATACAGAAGTACGAAGTATGTGCTGTGATCCTACCTGTGATTATCACCGTCTTCCCCTCCATCTTATTGCGGCTTGGGTTGTCCGTCCCCCATCTGATGTAGACACGGAGGAGGACGACAAATAGGATGATGCAAGAGACAACGACAGTGGCGACAAGCGCCGAGAAGACGTCCTCAACAACTTCCTTGACTTCGTCGATGTTCTCCTCCAGTTCATCGACTTTTAAATTTTTCATCGACATCTTGTTTTGTTGAGATCAAACTTTACTCTCCGTGATCTAGGCTTGATCGACACACCTTTAAAGCAGGTGACGTTATCGCCTGCTCGAGCAGACGACAGTTAGCAAAGTCGTCTGCTGGTGTCAGACGACACACCTGTGTGTAGCAGACGACACCTGAAGTCAAGGTGGTGCAGGTTATGGGTTGTAGCGTCCAGGTTGAGGGAACAGGGTGGGAGAGATCTCGTCTGCTCCGGGAGACTACCCGCGCCTTAGTCCAACCAAAGATCTTTTGAAGAGAGAAGATAAGTTCGGCACAACCCCTCGGTGTAGATCACGTTACCTATGTAGCACGTGACTCCATGGAGATGGGAGGAAACAGGGGCACAAGCTGGTTCTGTGAGATCTGCCACAGCAGCATGTGTAGAATAGGCTGAGGAGTGCCCGAAGTTTTATTACATCGGAATCCTCCCCTCCCCGGTCTCTCATCACCCCCCGGCCTAACCCTCCCGGGGTCCCAAAGTTCACGCCTCACCCCTCGCTCAATCCTAAGCGTCAAGTTTTATCTTTGTCTTTTGTTACTTACTGGTCCGTAGGATTTCAGTTCCTTTTTCTTACCTCAACAAAAGCACGCGCTGATTTTGTGTAAAGATAACTAAAACAGTATCGCTCAGCAGGAGATAGGAAAACGAGTGTTGTCACGAGAGAAGATGACGCATATCAGACGTGTTTCCTGGCAACAGAGTTAATGTTAAAATCGGAAGAGAATAATATTTGTTCAAACAGGCACCGAAACATATCAGTGTCATAACAACGTAAGTTCAGCTCAACGGTGTGCGTTATCAAAGAGTTACAAAATTGTAAATAATCCTTGTGTTAAGCGTTACGTCAACATGCAATCTACATTGCTTGGACTGTGTCGGTCAAAGATGTTTTCTCGGGAATGTGGTACTCTGACAGATACAGGCACACAGAAGCAGTGATTGTGCCTCTGCTCGAACCGTCTATCATACAGATCCTAAAACAAACAAGTCTAGATTACTGCAGTATCAAATGAAGAAAGTATCTGGGCTCCTTTTTATTATAGTTTATAAATATGATTTAACAACTGTTTTTTTTCTTTAAAATGCGTCCATTTCAGAGACTAGATGTCAGTCTGTGCAGTGGGCAGTTTATTGCACAGTAAAGGTAAAGGGAATTATTAACCTAGACTTGCATAAGTCTGTTAGAAAATGATAAGTAGTTCAGATCATAACTAGATTATATCAATGATTAGTCCAAGTTGTCCCATAAAAGACCGATTATGTCCGACCTGCATATCATAAAAAAAGAATTACTACGCACATCCATGGACTGTTTATTCAGTATAGACTTGGAGTAAGGCTTGTATTAACCCAAGTAATTGTAGCTGGTTTATATCCTTGTAGGGTCAAGGATCAGGCAGGAGAACGTCTTTATGTAGCCGTGTTCCATGCTCCGCGAAGTCTGTCATAAGACCCTGAAACAAATATATCCAATACAGCCCGCGCAAGTCTATAATAGTTGGTAAGTCTAGATTACTGCAGTTTCCTTTTTTCTATTTTTTTTATGTTCTCTACAATAGTAAGGTACAATACAGGTAGGCATATAGTCAGGTAAACACAGCTGGGCCAATCGTGAGGTACAATACAGCTGGGCTTACAGTAAGGTTCAATACAGCTGGGCTTATAGTAAGGTAAATACAACTGGGCTTATAGTAAGGTTCAATACAGCTGGGCTTAAGTAAGGTTCATTACAGCTGGGCTTATAGTAAGGTACAATACAGCTGGGCTTATAGTAAGGTTCAATACAGCTGGGCTTATAGTAAGGTACAATACAACTGGGCTTATAGTAAGGTTCAATACAGCTGGGCTTAAGTAAGGTACAATACAGCTGGGCTTATTGTAAGGTACAATACAGCTGGGCTTATTGTAAGGTACAATACAGCGCGGCTTATAGTAAGATTCAATACAGCTGGGCTTATAGTAAGGTACAATACAGCTGGGCTTATAGTGAGGTACAATACAGCTGGGCTTATAGTTAGGTAAATTCAGATGGGCTTATAGTGAGGAACAATACAGTTTGGTTATAGTAAGATTCAGTACAGCTGGGCTTAAGTAAGGTTCAATACAGCTGGGCTTATAGTAAGGTACAATACAGCTGGGCTTAAAGTAAGATGCAGTACAGCTGGGCTTATAGTAAGGTCAATACAGCTGGGCTTAAGTAAGGTTCAATACAGCTAGGCTTATGGTGAGGTACAATACAGCTGGGCTTATAGTAAGGTTCAATACAGCTGGGCTTACAGTAAAGTACAATACAGCTGGGCTTAAGTAAGGTACAGTACAGCTGGGCTTATAGTAAGGTTCAATACAGATGGGCTTATGGTGAGATACAATACAGCTGGGCTTATAGTAAGGTTCAGTACAGCTGGGCTAATAGTAAGGTCAAATACAGCTGGGCTTAAGTAAGGTACAGTACAGCTGGGCTTATAGTAAGGTTCAATACAGCTTGGCTTATAGTAAGGTACAATACAGCTTGGCTTAAGTAAGGTACAGTACAGCTGGGCTTATAGTAAGGTTCAGTACAGCTGGGCTTATAGTGAGGTACAATACAGCTGGGCTTATAGTTAGGTAAATGCTGCTGGGCTGATAGTAGGGTAAATACATCTTATAGTATGCCAAATACAGCTAGGTTCACGGTAAAGTAAATACAGCTGAGTTTGTGGTATTAAAAGTAATAACAGGTGGGCTTATTCTGAGGTAGATACAGTTTTACCTATGTGTCAGATCGTCACACTACAGATTCTGTGTTCGATTGTCCGTGCGGCGACAGCCCAGTTAGGGGGAAATCGCTTTGTTAGTCAAACAAAGTCCGTGCGGTACAAAGACTAGAAGGAAGCGCACATACAATCCCCCAATATACCTATCATGTTTGACGGTAGGGTGCCCGCCTGGTAGCCTCTGCACACTTGTTACATCTTGCCACCATGTCCCTGAATAAATCATAGTCTGTTTTAAACTTCCTATTCAGATCATTATCTAAAGAAAACATATCTAATTTTTTATTAGAAATTACCTGCCTTTTTGAGTATCCAACCAAACTTGGGCCTAATTAAGAAAATTCCATACTGTACTTTAAGGTATAGTCTGTCATACAGACCCTGAAACAAATACAATGTATACCCAATACAACCAATGGTTCTATGTGCTCCTTTTTTATATTTTATTAAACTATAATTCAACAACTGTGTTTATCTGTAAAATATGTTCATTTGAGAGGCTAGGTGTTAATCTATTCCAGGTACCGCCCCTTGAAGGACAAACGAAAAGCAACGCTGGAGCTGGTGACGTCCAATGAATAAAGGTGAAAGTACGTGGCACATGTGCACATGTTACAAATCTACAAGTCACGTTAGCGGTGTACACATTTGGGGCTAGAACACCATTCAGACTCGCCCGGGTCGAGGTTACGTGTCTATGACTTGCACACATTTGTATCACCAAAATTCGATATTTAATCTGTCGCCAGGTGTCGCCATGTGTCGCCAGATGCGTGGATTTCGGTGTTGGGGATCGCTTCAATACTTGAAAGGTTATGTTATTCTCCAGACGCCATTCAATACCTATACATATTTGTTTACATCTAGATTATGCCCTTGTGTAATCTAATATCTAATTTACTATAGATCACATGATGGTTGATCCCTATTACCTCTACTCGCGCTACAATCATAAGTTCATTGGGACCAGTTCGATTCCCAATATATCACGTGGGAAAGGGAATAAGCCGAGAGTGGATGTACCCCATTTTCGTGTTACTTATTCACGCGGGACCACCTATAGGTTACCGAGATACAGTTGCCACGTATGCCTGAGTATTCCTGCGTCATGCTTTCACGATAGTCTGTCTCCAAGACCTTAGAGAATAAATAAAAATAGGAGTCCAACTCAAGTCTAAAATGATTTGGCAAGTCTAGATTGCCCCAGCAGTCGGCAGTACCCTGAAATTGAGAAATGTTCTGGGGCTCCATTTGGATATTATTATTTATTTTTGTACACATGCATTTTTGAATAAGATCGGTTTATTTCTGGGACTACATGATATATATACGGGTAAAGTTGAGTAAGACGGTGAAACCAGCGTCAGCTTCGCGAAACCACACGGAGAAAAAAAAGTAAATTCTGCTTACTTATTAAGTAAAAGCAGCAAAAGGTTCGTAAACAGCGAGTTTACTATCCTGCCTTGTAGATTGCACGGGACAGCGGTGGAGAGAAGGGGTATCCTATGTAGAGGGGAATGTCCGAGTGACACTCCATTCCTTAAAATGTAGCCAAGGCCCCCCGGATAATCCTTAAAGGCTAAAACAAAAGATTATGTAAATATTGTTGTTACTATAACAATGTTATGTATTTAAAGCCATTAGATTAACAGTTGAAGAGAAAAGAAAAATCAGGTAAACATAATATCCTTGTTCAGGTCTCTGTATTTATTATCACCCCCGTCAGCATGTATTTACAACATGCATGGAAGAGATTGATTAAGTGCTAGATAAGGGCCCCGACAGACCCGTGAAGATCCGGGGTAGAATATGTCTTCAGCAACCCATGCTTGCTGTAAAAGGCGACTATGCTTTTCGGGCTCGCTGACTTGGTTGATGCATGTCATCGTATCCCAAATCCGTGGATCGAGGCTCATGATGTCAATCACTTGAGTGTCTGGTCCAGACACGATTATTTTACAGACCGCCATCATAAAGCTGGAATATTGCTGAGTGCGGAGTTAAACAACAAACCAACTAACCAACCAACCGATTGCGTGGATCGATGCTTTGTTGCCAATCACTTGATTGTCTGGTCCAGACTCGATTATTTTACAGACCGCCGTCATATAGCTGGAATATTGCCGAGTGCAGCGTTTAACAACAAACAAAACAATAAATGATGCGGGAGGAAAGCCTGGAGTGATGCAAGAGCGGACGGTTCCAATCCCGGCCGCATTTTACCAAAAGACAGAAAAGGTGGTACTTGTTGACGACAACAGAACAGAACAATTTCCATTTTTATTCGCATGAAAAGAAGGATTTTACAAACATTTTGTCACTTGAGTATTGACTTCTGTTTGGATACTAGTTAAACTGAGAACAACACACAATAATGGCAAAACTTTGCACAGACTCTGTAGGATATAAATCCCTTTGAAACATGTTCGTCCACGTTCAAGTACAGGTCGAAACAAATGAAAGAGTATCCTAGTTATATGGCACATGCAGAATTAAGTTTATCTCAATCGGGTTGATGCAGGTTATTGTTTTAAGTGTACTATCAACCTTAAGGGATGGGAAGCCACAGACAACCCATGGGTAGAAAACAGGCAATGGTCTCC